TGGCCAAACAAAAATAGAGACAAATAAACAAAACTATTGTGCATGAACAAGTAGGTGAAGAATACCTGTTTAAATATTCATCACAGTATGCAGGAGGTTGGGTTTTGAATCACTGCTGTATTGATTCTCTAACAGAAGGAGTCGGACATTACCTCACTGAAGACTGCACCGACTGCAGCTCCAGCATTTTAATGGTTGGTATTGTGTTGCTACTTACAAAGGAATTCTCAGCCGTAATAAACCTGCAGACATTCAGCACATGCATTTTATTGCTTCCTGAGGCACGTGAGGATTTACTGCAGTTTACCAAAGAATACCAGATTTTAAGCTTTCACTTGTAGAAAAGCATGCACAGTATAGTCATAGTAATAGTTGTGAGTTGTAGTCAAATACTTACAGAGTCAGTATGGTCACAGCATCCTCCTGTTCAAAGGTAAAAGCGTGACTGAGGACTGAACCAAGTGGCAGACTCCAGTGTTGAAAAATGAAGCCAATGCAGATGTGAAAAAAAACCTGCAGTTCCTCAAGTGTCCACTTGGGGCTGTCTGCAGAAGCCCCTGGAGGACACATACACACCCATTCAAAAATTCCAGTTTCTGCACTGGAAGCACGTCATGCTGCCACTTTCTAGGGATGCAAACCTAAACCACCAGTTTTCTATTTTCCACGGCTCTACAATAAAAGAGAACTAACCACTGTGCAAGCAGAGTCTGTGTCCCCTACTTGTAAAAGTGTACAGGCTACACCTGATGCTGCTGTAGTCATGGATACATCAGCATGACACTCGAAGCAGACGCTTAATCACAGATTTGAAATATCAGTATTCCTGCTATTCCCGGATATCTGGACCAAAATGTAAACACGATCCACCAAAGTGGATTCTGACCAGCAAACTATGAAGATAGATAAACGTAGTTGCATTCTTCAAACCGTGCTTACGAAATATCGGACCACTTCCTGTAAGTAAACTGTAGTCCGATCAATGCCCTCCTGCATCAGTTGTGCAGGTGACACGTGAATCATCATATCTGCAGTGCCTCCAGCTTTGGCCTCTCGTCACACAAGACAAACTGTAAGTCTCAGGTTGTGTCTCAGAGAGTTAGAGTATGGATTTATTGATTCAACTCACACCAGCAGTGCTTTAATCTCACATCTCCTTCTCATTAGAGGAAGCAGAACCAGTCAGAGAGAGGTAACGATCGGACCAGTCATCAGAATAAGACTGACGGACTCAGCAGAGAAAGAAACCTGTGTGGTACCTGAGATAAGGACGGCGGTTGTCAATCTTCTCCTCTGTCAGGAAAGTGCTTTGAGTTCAAATGTCATGTTTGCAAGGAAATAGTTTATGTTATTTTCTTTACCATAGGGTTCATCAATAGTGGCCTTAGCTACAAATATGTCACCCGTTGGTTTGATTATTGAAGCCTCGCTTTTGTCATTTTGGCTGTCAACATGTCGGTTTTTTGGAGCCAGAATCGACTGTATGTGGATGAGCTGGTTAGAAAACCCCAGTTTATCAAAGCTGAAGTGTCGCTGAGTCCTTTCCTTAATCATTGGGTAGCTAGTTAGCAATTACCATTGTTTATCCGGCAGACAGAGACAGTTTTTGAGGTGGTAGCTGACAGGAGTTATTTTGTGATCAGACCAAAAAAGCCAATAGAGCTTGTTAAAGTAGCACGCTGGTCAACAAAAATTCTGAGGCCTTTACTTCAAAGCGAGTTGAGCATACCCAGAGTGTCTTTTGGCTACCTCGCTTCCCTGGTTTGGCTTCATTTATCAACCCTGTAGGTTTGCCCCTGCCTGGGTCTTTACCAAACGGCAACCACTGGGGTGAAAAATGAAGCCAATGTGTGAGTGCAAAATCCTGCAGTTCCTCAAGTGTCCACTTGAGACACACACACACACATTCAAAAATGTGTGTTTTTACAGCAGAAATCAACGGTAAAAACCGAAATTGGTCTAGTTTTGTCCTCATCTGCACACACTGGACTGGGGGTGAATTGTTTTATAGCGCATCCATTTTGATTTTATGAACAATACATGTTATGCATGGTTAGGTGCATGGCCAACCTGATTGACGGGCCGGTGCAGTGTAGTGGTTTGTCAGGAGTTTGAAAACCCGCCTCAGCTCCAGCTCTCAGCCTGTCGTTAGGATGACTGAAAGTTAGACTGAGGCTGATGACCCTCCAGAGCCCCCTGCAGTAACAGATGGGTGATGTCACTCAGGCTTCGTCCTTTAATATTTACAGTCTTTGGTCTCTACTGGAAATCTGATAAAGAAAGGCTCAATCTTGACAAGAGGCCTGCTCACTATAATGTTGCCCTTTCATCTGGTGCTTCACAATCTAGTCTTTGAATATAAAAAGCCTTCATGAGTCATCACCTGCATGGAGGAAAATGCAGAATATGTTTTTTTTGGATCCTGCATAAAAGCCTTGAACATAAACACTGACACTATATAACCTCTGAGTGAATCCATTACACAACACACATCCCAGAGTTTGTTTGCAGCTCAGCCGTGAGATAACAGAGTCACTTGTGATTACATGCAGACTCTGACTCCTCCTCACCAGTCTGCCCCGTAGCTCAGAGTCTGTCACTGTTTTTTTTTCCTCCTTTTTCAGACAGACAAATTAATTTCATCCCTTCTTATATGTTGTAAGTGAGCTCCGCCTGCTGGTAGAGGAATGTAACTACAGACTATGACCCTTCATTGGCCCGCCTCAGATCAAAACTTATTGTCTCTCTCTGGAGTGTGTTGTCTCACTTTGATCCCTCCTGAAGGCTGATGCTGTTATCTGTGCATGTTTGTTTGTTTTTTTCCTTTCATTTTCGGAGCGTTCTAAATTTAGAAGAGACGAGAAGATGCAGTACAAAAATCTTTCACTACATGGAACTCAAGCGCTGTTGTCCCTCAGTATGCCTGGTGTAGAGAATAAAAGGCATCACTTTGTCTCTGTTAAAAGCAAAAAAAAAAAACAGTTTTTTCTTACCTCGGCTTTCTCTAAATCCTCTTTTCTATGCAGAAGATTACAAGATTTTAACCCTTTCCTACAGTGAAGAGGTGGAAACATACTTCCTCGATGGCTTCTCTCCATTGGGTTCAAGTTGAGCTCTTGATTTTAATTAATTTTTGACACGACTTGCTGTGTCCTTGCACCTGATTATCACGAGCCTTTACCCCCCATGAGGGTAAGATCTCAGTCTAATCTAACCGTGTTAAGAGTTTTGATTCGACTGAGCAGATGTATGATTTCATAGTAGTTATTAGAAGGGCTGCTCAATAAATCACAATGTTATTGTTATCATGATATGAGCATTCACAATAAACACATCTCAAAAATCTGAAATAATCACCATTAAAAAGAAGAATCATAATATCCAAAGAGGCAAATATTTCTCACTCTGCATGGTTACGTTTGACCTGTTGGAAGAAGACATGGGTTAAATAACTTTGCTTTTACATCATTTAGATGCAGTCGGATATATAAATCATATTTGTCAGCAGTTAACATGATTGAGGGGAGAAATGTATAGAAATAAATGTGTGTTAAAATGTCAACTTTAGGGTGTGAACAAAGCAATAGGCCTATAGCCTACCAGTAAATGATATTAAAAGAGTTTGAATGAAATGTGAAAAGAAAGCTGACCTCCTGTGGGTACATTAACTAATACGTTATCTATCAATGATTTATCACGTGCTTAAATATCAGCTTCAGGTGTTTCGATCATCTGTTAGCCCGGACATTTAAAAATCATTCTACGGTCCAAATATCCCGGTTCTGAAACCTCATTGGCTCCCAACGCGAGGCTAACATGCAGCAGCGAGCCAGGATTGGCTGAATCTCTGAAGGCGTCAAGTACAGAACACGAGCGAGACTAGAACCAGAAGTGACGTAGGCCTTCAAAATAAAGGAACTAGCATTGATGTATTCACTTAAGCTCCTCCAGTAGACAATGACCGTATCCATGTTGACATGAATTATAACCTTTCACAAAGCATTTGCTCCTCATGCAGCGCTCGTTCAGAGTGACTATAACTGTTGAACTGAGTTATCAAGCCAGACGCTTCTGTTATTGTTTTATTTCCTTTCCTAATATGCACAGGAAGTCTGACACAACAAGGTCCTCTACAGAGGCGCTGCTTGTCAACAGGCAAGGCAGGCAACTGCTTGGGGCCCCAGACCAGTAAGGAGCCACCCCAGGACTTACAAACTTGAAACAAAGCAGTGGAACCAAAATGTGCAAATTTTGCAATGACATGAGGAAACCTCCCTGAGGGGCCCCATCTGACAGCACTCGTTCTTGTTGCCCTGCTAAACATTGCTGTGAAAACCAAAGTGTGTCAATGAAAGTCAACAAAGAAAGATGAAGAGTAAGTATGACCCTATAGGAGAGAAATCAAAAACAGGAAAAAAGAGGAAGCGGAGTAAGCGGCGTAAGCGGCGGGACCCTATGGTCCGGACACTGGCAGACATGACGGTGATGAACGCTGGTTGAAGGGCCCCCCCAAATGATTCTAGCCCCCCCAGACTCTAGAATAGCCACTACTCCTGCACATTACACTTCCAATAAATGTTAGCTTAAATGACCTGAAAGTGATTGTTTTCAGATTTGTATCACTGAGGCAAAGGTGCAGATACTTTCATTATGGATCCATACACAGTTTATCGTCACTGTGAATTTTCCGATCATTCAGTTTAATTAAATGTGCCCAAAACAGCCTTATCACTGTCTCCAAGAAGTCAATGTGACTTCTTCAGATTTCATCTTCTTTTCTGACAAAAAGGCCAGAACACCCGATTTTTTTTTACTTCCTGTCATAAACGACAAAAAGAAGCCACTCATCTTTACATTTAGGAGTATATAGAAAGCTGATGTTTAACTTTTTTTTGACTACAAAATCATTATAATCACAAGGTTTGCAAAACTCTACAATTTTTTTTTTAAGTTGGGTTAAAATGCTTTTATTTTGTAAGATCGGACAGGAAGTACTTGTTTCAACATGGCTGACTTGCCAGTAGTAGTGGCTGGAGGGAGCTGCCTGCTAACCAGTTGCAGTTTCAATCCCTCCACGGGAGCAGAGGGCGAGAGGGTCCTTCTTCCCCTGCAGACCAGCGGCGCAAAAAATAAATAAAAAAAAATGGCGGGCTGTGAAGGCGACGTGTTGCGTTCATGGTCCGGGTCAGCATCGTCTGCGAGTAACGGGTTCACATGTGTAGCTGTGCCCGCGTCCGAGGAGCAGAAACCGAGGAAGAGGAGGAGGGCTTTCTGCCTGACCAGGATCAAGACCCGCAGCAGCTCCGGCGGTCAGACTGTGCAGGGTCAGCGTCAGCCCGCCGCGAACAACAACAACAACATGCCGCTCATGATCCAAGAGATCAAACACATCTGCAGGAACTGCCGGGGAGCCGAGCCGCTGGACGGTGAGACGAGCCGGTTCTCTTTACTACTACTACTACGGAGGGAGGGAGGGAGGGAGGAGTAGGTGTTTTACTGCCCTGCTTTTTAATGATTATTGTCATGTGTCCGTGACCGCTCCCTGCTCCTCTCTGCGCTACAGCATCCACTTCATCCCCTTCATGTTATCTTTATTCTTTTCTTGTGTGACCTTTAAGCATCAAGTGTTACATCTAAAGCCTGTTGTGTCACTGTAGTGTTGCATATCGTCTCAATAGAGGTCTTCTTTGTGACTTGGGTGGTTTCAGTGTTTTGCTCGCTGCTTTGTTCTTTTGTTCACTTCTGATAAACAGAATAATATCAGCCTCACATTTGGCTGAAATAACTGTAGATGTTTTTTTTGTTTTTTTTAAATATAATTCACAATACTTTACTGTGAATAAAATCAATTCATCATTAACTACTGCAGGTGATGTTGCCGTGCATAATGTCTTTAGGCATATATGAGCTCGATACTGGGATAGGATGAGCTATAACACAAAAGAAAATGAAATGTCAAGCTTTGCCTTAAAAATCTCCTTTATAAAATAATCTGTAAACTCTTGATGATGACTGATGGGACTGAGCAGCTTCCAGTTATCATCAATCATAGCAGCTCTCTGATTGGCTGATGGAAAACTGAGGCAGTATGTATCTACGTAAGTATGTAAAGATTAATCGTAAAATCGTGATGTCAAGATTCACATCGGTACTAAATTGAGGACGCACCACCTCCTTCTAAATCGGAGGTGTGGAATTTGGCTTCCACCATTTTTCTCTGGAACATTCAACGATACAAAGTGAACCTGTATTTAAAAAACCTCTTCATTTTTATATTTGTATTGTGTTAGTTCATTGATTTAATTGCCAAAGAAAATGTCAGCCTCAGACTTCACACCTATCATGCCTGAGTGGTCGCAGTTTTTCTTTTTTGTTGTCTGAAACTGAACAGGGTCATTTTCAGTTTTCAGTCCGTCCATCTTAGTTCATCAACAAATTATGTAACATTGACAGACTCCTCAATTGCACTCACATTTATTCAGCCTACTTCTTTTAGGCTGCCACTATGGGCTGCTCGATTGTGGCTAGAACCATAATCACGATTATTTTTGACTGATATTGTGATCACAATTATTAAACATGATGAATCATTCATTTTACAACATCTGCATCACGTGCATTAATCAAACGTGGGAAAACACAATTGTAATTGAAACTCAATTAATTTCCCAGCCCTATGCAAAAATATTTAAATGTCATGTATATTGGGGCTCACATTTGGTGTTGTTATTCTGTAAATTTCAAAGAGGTTTCCAGCGGTTGCAACCCAAAGGCAAGAATCGGTTTCCAGTGTGAACTGGTCAATCTGTTCCTGTTGAGCTGTGTTGACTGTTAATCCATAACCCGAACATTTGTGTGATTGATTGACGAGTTAACTTAATTTAAAAGTCGGTCAAACTGTTTCCAACCTCAAATCAATACAGCCATGCCGAAGATCGATGCTCAGTATCTTATGACAGGTCAACCTCCGCATACGCATAAAGATAGAGATAATTGTTAGGATTAGCTACAGCTCATTCCTTCTAATAATCAAACTAGAAAAACAACAAATCCAAACACACAAACAGACCTAGAGCCTGAGTTAGTCGGCTCCCAGAGTGAGATGTTTGTGGCCTTGCAGCAGCTTCTCTTCATCATCTGTTTTCACCTTGTTGTTGAGTGACTCAGTGGAGGTAAACAGACTGAAAGAATGTCTCCCTGCAGTGTGGGTCTTCTACCTCTGACTCACCCCTTCAGGGGCCGCTCATCTCTATGCTGTTTACCAGGAACAAGGCTGAGTAAAGAGAAAGGACAAGTCATAAAAAGAGTGAAAAATGTCAGTTCCTAGAGACTGAGCTGTCCTCTTTTTTTTCCCGACCAATAGTCCGGAAAACCGTCCACTAGATAACTAAGAGAGCCCTAACATCTTCAGGTTTGAGGAGATACTGTCATATAGGATGTTTGCATGTGGGAAACTTTTGTGAAGAGCAGACGTTGCTAAAAAGAATTCATCAAAAATGTGGTTTGAATCAGTAGAAGAAAATCTCACACTGCATCACCTGGACTGATTTATATCCAAAATGTTGCACAGCTAGCTAATCCTGTCCACGCTCTCCTGTCTTCACACCAGGGTGCCACACAGAGAACCCACACACTGAAGCTGTTGTTTACAGAGACGAGGAGAGGTGGAGGTGGAGAGGGGCTGCCCGGTGTGGAGAGGGGTTGGATGTTGTTGTTGTTGAAGGGGGGCCTCTCCATCGTAGCTGCTGAGCGGCGACAGATCTGAACTGACATTTCTGTTGTAACAAGACCACCTCGATGCCGACATCCTCTCCTGTCTGTAGCCTCTGACTGCTTCACAATGGTTGTTCGTCCCACCTCACCACTGATGTCATGTTTTCATAGACTTTTCTGAGAAATTCTCATTAATAATGCTAATCTGAAATTGTCAATATTTTAGTCTAAGTTTGGAATTTATCAAAAATTAAAATCAAAGATGCTGTGTACCATTAAAGGAGCAATATGTAATTCTGACACCTAGTGTTTCAAATGGGTGCTGCAGTCTAAAGTCAAAACATTGCAGAGAGCTGTCTCCCCCCGCCCCCTCCTCTCTAGAGTTGATGCTCACGCAGGTTGCCATGTGGTGGACGCTGAAGCTTCAGTGTTTATCCAGCTCTGCATCGGTCTGTAAACCTTTCTGCGTTCTAACCTCTCTCCATTTTTCAAAAGCATCTCCAATATTGATCCTAGTTTGAGCACGTTTCTGCTCGTGGAGCTTATTAGAAACATGCAGAGGATTTTTAGGTCGGGTAAATCACTTCTATCTGAACCACTTCTCTTGCCCGCTTCCATCACTGCAACACTTGTTGGTTTGACCTGATAACTGCTCTCATATCTGGCAAACCGAGGGGCGTCCAAAACGGCTGCGTGGGGGGTGCCTTAAAACCGCCTAGAAGGAGGACACACTGGCTGCTGCATTGTTGTCAGAGAAGCCAGCACTTCAACATAGCATGTTTCCTTAATGTCTGATCATATGTAAGCTCACTTTATCATTTCACTCACTACACATCTTACTGATTGCTCCTTTAATTCTGACTTTAATGAATTGACAGATGTGATACATTTTGGCTTCTACAAAAAAAGGACTGACTATTTGTCTTGTTGTCTTGAATGTCTAAAAAACGGCTGACCTCATTTCTCTAAAACGTTTCTCTAAACCTTCTAAAGCAAAGTTTTGCAGTACCTTGGAACCATTTGGACACAGTATGACTGGGCAGTTTTCAGCACATTGTATACTTTCCTCATGGCGTGCAGGCCTTATTTGAACCCTTCTCTGTCACATGAAAGTAGTCCTCTCTGATCTGCCCGCCTGTGAACCGTTTTTCCATTCTTCTGTAGTGTAACTGTTCAAATAAGTGCGTCAGTGTCTGCTGGTGCGTTTGTGTGTTTACATCCTCCGCTGCCTCCTGAATGTCTGCCTCCTTCTGTTTGTGATTCATTGCCTCAGGCTCGGACCGCATGCCCTCGTTGTGTAGAGTCGATGTAGTGTGTAATGGGACAGGTGTAATTCCAAATGGAAAACTGGAGCTCGCTGTATAGAAACAGCCTCCAGCGAGACTCCAGCTCTGTGTAGGACCTCGATGAAAACCTACAGCTCCGAGCCAGACGGTGAATGGAAAAAGTGGAGGAGGTAGTCTAGACAAGACTTGAAACTTTTATTTAAAAAAGTTAATGTTTGCCTTGGAAATTCACCGTAACAGCTCAGGGTTTTCCTCCTCAGTGAAGCGTCTTCCCTTTTGTTTTTTCCTCCTTATCTAACTGTGATTAACTGCGATCCAAACAAGCTTTACTTGACTTGATTATGCACTGCCCCCTGGGAGAATTTGTCCCCTGACATTTAAGTCACAGACAAGTGATCTGTTTTCCTTAACTGTGTCTTTTAAGACGTCCTGGACCGCAGTAAACATGCAGCATGATCCCTGAATATTTCGAAACCTGAAGATCATCCCTGTTGTAATCACACTTTTAATGAACTCTTTAAATGTAAGTCTGACAATGAAAGTCAGAATGGATTTTTCTGAGCCTCTCTGTCATCGAGGGTGTGCCACAATTTAAATTTATGGTGCGCTGTGATTGATTTCCTTTGACAAATGAGGGATCATCTAGAGGGCAGGGTGTTGTACAGCAGGAGGGCACCTTGGACTCTTCACCTAGAGGAGGGAGACTGCCGATTGTTTTCATAATCTGGCCGGTCGTTTTATTAATCCCTTATTTTTCCTATAAAATATCAAAAAAAATGTGCACCCTAGGTTCCCTAGAGTTTACGTCAAGGTCTTTAGAAGTCTTGTTTTTCCTTTTAAAGTTGACCTATGTTAATGATTCCCATTTTAAAACTCGCAACTGGATGATCATAGTTATGTGGGCAACGTTTCGAGTTTTCAGTGGAGGTAAATGTATGTTGGAGTAATCCCAGGATAAGTCTATAGAGGGCGCTAAACAGCTGGTTTCTCCAAATCCCATGATAGTTCCCCGAAATGAGACCAAGAATTTTACATGACGGTTTCAAGCCTCCACGTAATCCGCTGAAACCTCTTACATGGACTCTCTTCTCCTGGCACTGGAGAGCAGCCCTCTCCTGGCAGCCCTGCAGCTTTCTGCTCCCCTGAAGGCTTCCAGAGAGCTGGCCAATCAGAAGAAAGTGGGCATGTGGGGAGGGGGGCCTTAAAGAGACTTCTCTATGTTCACAGACTGACAACATGAAAGCTGAATAAGAGGAGAATATTGGCCCTTTGTTTTCGTTACAGAGGTTAGATTTTTGACCTGGAGAGAAAATAGACTTTTCTTTGTGGTTTCCTCACTGATATGACTTTGACAGTGTACCCGGGAGGCTGCTTTAAACACATGACTTTATTCAAGAAGATAAGCAGCATCATGCACACATGGCCACATCGAGTGCCAACAATCGACACAGCCTGCTTTGCTACGTCTTCTGCAGACATCGCTTAGAGGCGCCTGCTCTGCTCGGCAGACTTCCTCATTTAAACATTTCTATCTCACTGTAAGAATTGTCCTCAGCATTATAAGTTGTGTCGGTAGCGCTCCATGTTCATTTATTTCGTGTTTTAACGTCTCACTTTTGCTTCATCTCGTATCTTTTTTAAATGCTGTTAATCTTAATAAAGTTTTGTCGTCACTTAGACGGATATCTCTGTGATATCTGCTGATAATAAAAGCTGACTGTTTTGTCAGTGTGTCTTATTGTGAGCTTATTGACAGACCTCAATCATTGATTATTATTATTCATTAAACCAGTTGGTAATTGACTTTCAGTTGATTGCCCAATAATTGATCTGCTTACTATTGCAGCTGTAGACCTGTTCTTCATATTATTGGAAATCTCGTCCGGTAAAAACCTGCTTTAATTCTGCTGTTTTTGTTCCAGAGGTCAGGCCAGAGGTGTTATTTTGCAGCTGTTTACCTGCCTGTTAATGACCTTGTTGTTCCTGTTCTGTTTTCCAGCTGAGGAGGTGGAGAGGTTGGCAGCGATGCGCTCTGATTCGTTGGTTCCAGGCACACATACGCCTCCCATACGGCGGCGGAGCAAATTCGCCACGCTGGGACGTCTCTTCAAACCCTGGAAGTGGAGGAAGAAGAAGAGCGAAAAGTTCAAACAAACGTCGGCTGGTAAGAGCAGAAAACACAACGTCTCCATTATCACCTGCCCCCTCCCTCCCCTTCCCCCGCCTCCCTGCAGTGATCTGCTTCACTCACCTCTCCGACAGACAGGAGATAAATAGCGGCGTCATATCGAGCAACAGAAGCGTTGATGAATGGCAGCTCAGAGGGGCTGAGCCGCCGAGCAGGAGGTTGATATAAAGCTGCAGCAAAGATCTACAGAGTATGATTGTGATTATGTAAGGCTGCTGAAACACCAGGAGGCTGAGGGTTAGCTGCTCAGGCTGCCGCTTCATCAATATGATGATGAGCCTGCTTCTTACACGAGGGTTTAGTTTTAAAGGGGACATATTATCAACAGTGTTTTTGAACATATATTCGGGTAACCTGAGTGTATACCGACCCACAAAATGTGAAATAAATCAATCCAGTCCTTTGTCTGTGGTCTGCACAAGTCTTATAACTAGGGGTGTAACGGTACACAAAAATTTCGGTTCGGTACAGTTCTCAGTTTTGAAGTTTCGGTTCGGTACATTTTCGGTACAGTAAAGGGACCTGATGCAACACTTTTTTTTCTTTATTAGGAACATTTAGAATTTCCCTTTTATACATTGGGCAGCATCGACAGTTCAGACTTGTACACCTGCTCAGGTTACTTTTTAATAACATTTTAAATTAAACATAAAAAAAACATAAAATAAACTTATGCTGCATCCTTCAACCAAAAGAGTCTCCAATAATAAAGCATTTTAGAATGAAACGAAGTAATTAATATAGCCTATATGTAAAAATATTTCTTTTTAATTACAGTGACACCTTCTAGTTTATTAAGCCAACTGTTTTTTGAATGCCCTTTGAGCACATAATAAACCTAATCACATCTGGGACAGTTTCATCGCAGAACTATTAATATTTCCCTCTGTCGATATAAGAACTTCAATGGCATTTGTTATGGCTTTGGTCCGTTCAGAATTACTAGCAAAGGCGGTTAGTTTTTTCCTATTTGCAGTGATGTTTACGTTCGCGTGGTGCCTTTTCAAGTGCTTTAATAAGTTGGAGGTGTTGCCTGCGACGTACCCGATGTCCACTGAACAACGACGGCCCACTACTCTCGTCTTGTCAACGTCTCTTTGTCCATTATCGTAGCAATGGGGAGGGAGGGTTTTCATTCTATCATGCTGCAGGTTATGCTCCCACACAGACGCGTCTCCCCTTTTGCGCCGCACCGCTGTTGGAGCGGGATCATCGAAACTTAAGAGTAAGTCTGTAAAAAGAACTCCATCTCGGTTATATGCAACTGTCCAAACCGACAGGACTCGAGGAACTACTAATCTGCAGAGTTTGCACAGTTTATGTTTGAACTTTTTTACAAGTTACTAACTAAATGCTGTGTCCCATACCAGCGACCGCAGCCTTCCTCCACCCTGAGGCGTGTTTCCGCTTTGCGGTCCGTGTGGGAACACAGATTAAAGCACTTTTGTTCCGCGTGTACTCGGATCGGTCGGCGTGCAGACCCGACCGAAGGCCTTGTACCGAAACGGTCTGGTCCGAGTAAGTGTACCTTTACACCCCTACTTAGAACACAGAGAAAAATGCTCTGTTTCAAATCGGCTCTCCTTATGATGTCACAGTGGGATTCTGGTAAAAAAAAAATCCCCTTCCCTCCTCTGGTATCTCCACCCATGGACTCCACCCCAAGCCTAGAGCAAAACTTTTGCACAGGTCCACCATTTTATTCTCGCTAGCGAAGGAGTGATGTGTACCGGGAAAACTCAGGGGAGGGCTCATTACATTTAAAGAGACACACACACCAAAACAGAGCGTTCTGAGAGAGCTGGTTTATACAGGGTCACAAACCTCCTCTGGTGCTTGATTCATGTTATAGTTTGACCAAAGCACAGCACAGATGTTTCATTCAGACCACAGGGGACTGTTTAAAAAGGTGGAAAAGGTGGATAATTTGTCCTCTTTAACTCTCACTTTACATGCTATTTAGTATGCTTTGTGGCAAATATGGATGCTTACCATGTCCAACAATGTATCTCTACATAATGTATGCATAAAAATATATTAAAAAAATCTAATGTAAGAGAAGATCAGAAGTCAAAATATACGCTGCAAACATAGAAAGGTATAATGAGTGATCTGTAGGGGAATAAGGCGTACTGAAAAATCTAATTGTACACCATTTACATTTATTATTCCCATCCCAGACGAGATGGATAAAAGCTTTTAATTACAGCGCTACAACACAGCAGCTGCGGTTAACTGCAGCTACAAATCAGCGTTAAATGACGACCCTAAACGAATGAACTCTTCCTCTAGAGTGACGTTAACCTCGGCATCAGAGGAGAATGTCATTTTAGATACTTACGTCTGGTTTCTCGGCTACAATATGCTTTGTGCAGAACGCTGTGAGATAGAGGGAAGAGTCTGATCTGGGAGCTGTTGTTGTTGTTTCTCAGCTGGCTCTGACATCCTGTTCTCAGTGAGAGGCGCAGCAGAGGGCCGACGAGAGGCTTCCTACAGTCAAGCTGTTCTCCCAGCTGTCACAGCGGGTCCCTGGAACATGCTTCCTGTCTCTGTATGCAAAATAAAACACAGAGGACAGGGTACAGTACGCTTGCACAAACAGGTGACTACACACTGAGAGCTCCATGTGTCTCTGCTGGACCCCTGCCACCATGTCAGTCCAGGTCGACTTAATTGGGCCGTGATGGCCATGTGGTCGGAAATAGAAATTCTATGTGTCGGTATGATGTGTGGTGAGAGCCAGCATGGAGAGGGGGTTGGACTCTTGGGCGCCTTGGAGGTCACTGTACGGCCCTCTCGAGGTGTTGTGAATCCCAGAGCTGTATTGATGGTATTATATTGAACTGCACCATAGATCTTTCAAAACTGTCATTAGAGCTTTGCAGCCATATATTCTGTAACATCTGCATCGATAAATGTATTTGCAAGGAGCACATGATGATATATTGCCATCTCCATTTTTGAGCACAGCTCTAGTGGAGTTGTTGGGGCCAGAAGTGGCCATGTGGTAGGGTTGATAGGATCGGCATTGTCGCTACCTGGAGCTCGCATTACCACAACCTGCGGTCTGCTGAATGTGGTAATGCTGTTTTGGTTGCTGTGGCAACTAAGGCCCATATTGTAGGTTATGCACCTTATCAGTAGGGTATGGGATATCATATGCAGGAAGGATTTCTCCTTTGTATTCCTCTCGTTCCTACTGTCCACACTTCCTGGCTGCTGAGGTGGAGGTCGGAGCAGGCCGTGCATGAATGAGGACGGCAGTGGCAGTGGAGACGACACAGTCTGATGATGGCGGCTGGGCTTCAGGGACGTTAGGTGGTAGTGGTGCCAGATCATTAGAGCACAAGTACCTTGTGTTTAGCTCCAATGATAACTCTTTATTCACGCTCCATCATCGTCTGATACAGTGAAACAGTCTTTCATTTCTTGTGAAAAAGTGAGAGCTTTGGAGGATAGCGATCCCTCATGTGTAAACTTGCGGGCGGCTGTGGCTCGGTTGGTAGAGTCGCCGCCTCTCAACCGGAAGGTCGAGGGTTCGACATCGGTGGCGGTGTATGAATGGCATTAGTTACTTCTGATGGATGATACTACATAGCGACCACTACCATCAGTGTGCGAAAGGGAATGAATGGGTAGGTGTGACATGTGGTGTAAAAGACTAGAAAAGCGCTATATAAGCTAAGTCCATTTACCATTTAAACTGTTGTTCATTGCCCTCTGATAAACACCTCTGTACTGTTTAAGTTGTGTAGAGTCACAATAACAAAGTTCTCTTTATTTTTTTGTAACATTTGCAAAATGGTTTGAACTTCTGGTTTCTTATTCAGTGGAAACGTTTGTTTCTGTGCTGACCTTCCTTAAATGGCTTCCCCTCTTTGTTTAGTCAGAGTAACAGGAACTTAAGAGTTTATTCCCCCAATGCTTCATGTTGTTTCCTCACGTTTTACATTCACCTTCTGTCATTATTCACTTGAGGACAATATTTACGATCAGAGGAGCTTTGTACCCTTCATGGAGCAGAAATAAATATGTCATATCATTTAAATAAACGTGATCTAATGGTCTTCATTTTTATTTCATGACGTTTCTGGTTTCCTGCTTCAGTAATTCAACGATGAAATGTAGAAGATTAAACGTCCCATTATAAGCTCTGCCCCAAACGTCATGCTGCTCTCTTAGCTGACAGTGAGGCCATGTTAACCCTCAGAGGTCCAGTCAGTAGTAATGATGGAGGCAGAAAGTCCCACCTGACACATGCCGATCATGAGTGGCCTGACGGCGTCCCTGACAACGTCGTGTTGTCTCTGTTCCCTCAGTGCTGGAGAGGAAAATGTCGACCCGTCAGAGCAGAGAGGAGCTCATCAAGAAGGGGGTGCTGAAGGAGGTGTACGAGAAAGGTGAGGCTCAGGAAAACCAAGGTGATCCGTTACATGTGGGACAGTCCTGTAAAAAGGTTCATGCTGATTGTGATTTTGTATGAGTGTTTAGATTCCTTTGTTCTTTCTGTTGTTTATTCATGTTCATTTAACTTAGTATAAGCAGATCAATACTCTTCGGCCATGTTTGACTCTTAACATGTCCGGCTCTCTGCTCTCTGTTCTCACAGACGGCTCTTGCTCGGTCGTACGAGAAGAGGTGAAGATGGAGAACGGCGCTCTCCGGTGCTCGGCTCTAGCTTGTCAGAGTGTGAGAATTCAGAGCTGATGGAGGGAGCGGCTGGAGGTAAGTCAGCAGAGCCTCAGCGTCGATGTCGTCTTTTCTCTGATTTTACATCACAGCGTCAGAGTGTGTCAGTTCTCCTTTTCCTCTCCTCAGGCTCTCTGGAGTTTCAGATGTCCGGTGACGGTGCATGTCAACAGGACCACGGCCAAAAATCCATCCAGGGTCCGCCCACAAAGAAGTCAACGGTTTACCCGTCTGATGGCGCCGAGTCACCGCACAGACCTCCCACGCTACACAAACAACCTCCTGCGCTGCCACCCAAACCCTTCAACAGGCTACCTAATCACATGACAGGTACGCTTACCAACAGCACGCCGATAATTGCTTATGTGGTCGATGTTTGCATGTCTAATCCTTTAATTCACCCTTCACGTTCCATGCAGACGGAGCCCCGGTGAAGCTGCCGTGTATGTCAGTGAAGTTATCTCCTCCTCTACCTCCAAAGAAGCTCCTTATCTCCGTACCTGCCGGGAGCATGGAGCCCTCTCCACTAGCCTTCCAGAAGTGCCCCGCCCCTCCCAGCCACACTTCAATGGGCGGCCACTCCCTGCATTACGGGACGCTTCCTGTCGCCCTCCACCCCCCCAGCCGGATCATAGAAGAGCTGAACAAGACCCTGGCCCTCACCATGCAGAGGTTTGAGAGGTGAGGAGCATCTGATGCAGAGATCAAAACCCCCACCAGGTTATCAGGTTAATCATCTTAAAGAACATTAATATCCTGCCACCGAAGCTTCAGTGTTTAGCCAGCTCTGCATCGGTTTTAAATTCTTCCTGCGTTCTAACCTCTCTCCATTTTTCAAAAAGCATCTCCAATATTGATCCTAGTTTGAGCACGTTTCTGCTCGTGGAGCTTATTAGAAACATGCAGAGGCTTTTTAGGTCGGGTACAATCGTTTCTATCTGAACCAGTTCTCTTGCCCGCTTCCATCACTGCAACACCTGTTGGTTTGACCTGATAACTGCTCTCATATCTGGCAAACTGAGGGGCGTCCAAAACGGCTGTGTGGGGGTGCGTTTAAACCGCCTACCTTCTCTGGTCCAAACAATTCCAGAGCATTCAGGACCAGAATCTAAAGTTAGAAGGAGGACATACTGGCTGCTGCGTTGTTGTCAGAGAAGCCAGCACTTCAACATAGCATAAAAAGGATTAAGTTTCCTTAATGTCTGATCATATAGTAAGGTCACTTTATCATTTCACTCACTACATATCTTTCTGATTGGACCTTATAAGGAAATTAAAATCATGAAATTTTGACTGGCTGAACAGAAACTCTTTAACTGTTTTGCTGCGTGAAGAAGAAGTATCCTGTCACTGGTGAAATATAAGTAAAAAACAGTTTTTCGTCACCCTGCTCTTTTATTAACTGCAGCGTACAGGTTCCATCCTCTCTCCTCCACATCCATCACTATGATTGGTCGGCCTGTCTCCACAGAAATAAGCTCAGAGCTAGGCTCTGCTTACCGATGTGCATCTTGGATGTTTACCTGTTTATTTTTTTTTAACCCCTCTCTCTCATTTTGGCCGACTCAAGAGGCTCTTGTCACACTCTCCCGTACAGCTCTCCTGTTTATTTCACATCTTCATGCAGCATTGAGCACTAACCTCTGAACCTCTTTCACCCGTTTTCCATCCTGCAGCTCCATGATGCATACCGTTCCCGCGGTGATGATCGAGTGTGACGACAACAAAGAGAACCTCCCCAACCAGACGGACTACCATGACCCGTCCGGCAGGTACACGCACGAGGAAGAGGACGAGGAGGAGGAGGAGGAGGAAGACGAAGAGGAAGATGATGAGGAGGAAGAGGATGAGGACGAGGAAGAGGATGATGATACATTTTTTACAAGTAGGTGGTTTCGGTCAATCTCCTCATTGTGTCCTTACTTACAATGACTGTAACTTTGATTACAGTATATAGAGGGAGCGTTTAGTCTCATGTTTTTATGGTGATCTGTCTCAACAACAAACTCTCTTAAGATCTGATATTACAGATTGACCGACACTTAAAGACTTCATGTGACATTTTCCAAGTGCAGAAATAATGACCTTTCTTTGCTTATATGACGTTTTTTTTAATCAGTTGTTGTTACGGTCGTGATCGTTGCAGGCTCACTGGCCATGAAGGTTTTACGGAAGGACTCTCTGGCCATCAAACTGAGTAACCGTCCTACCAAGAGGGATCTGGAGGACAAAAACATCCTGCCGATGCAGTCGGACCAGGAGAGACTCGAGTTCCGACAGCAAACAGCCACCAAACTGACCAGGTGAGCGTCTTGAGCATACACACGCATGCAGAGATTTCACATGAAGAGAGCACACACATTACTCCTCATGCAGGCGGCAGTTCACCTGTAAAGTGCTTCAGCTCCATGTTAGCCGTGATTGATGTGACCTGGCCGCAGAGGGGAGCAGATGATGGATGATGAGTGCAAATGGAGTGAGGAGGAGAGAGATTAAAGCTGAGGAGCTGCTGCCGGAGGAGCAGACGTGTGGGGAATAGAAGTTGAGTACAGTGTAGAGCAGGGACGAGCATCTTTGGTTGCCAAGAGAGGCCACATCAATTTGATTCTCACTGCCAGAGGGACTGATCGGTAGAAATTGCAATTTACTCTAAATTAGACATTTAACATAGTTACGTTTTAACAAAAGGAACAAATAACATAATGAGCTAATAATGAGCTTCTCACTCATTGTAGACAGTCATGACTCAAGAGACATTTACACAGGATAGACTGGATTTCTGCTTTATTTAGGTTTAAAATGTCGCACATTCTTCCTTTATATTTAACTTACATTTCTATTGATTTAAAAATGCATTTAATAATGCTTCATAAAAGAGATGACTCATTGCTCACAACCTCTCACTTTTAGTTTATCCTGTCCTTTATGGCCACACTCACGATCTACCGTTCAGGGTGTCTCTCCATACAATTACAACCAATGAGATTCTGCAGAAAGTGATGATGCTTTGAAAGAAAACAATTTTCTTTATTTTTTTAAGTCCCAGAAAAATGTTTTGTGTATAAACATGTTCCTTCTTTTCAGGCGGTTGAGTCAGAGGCCGACAGCAGAGGAGCTGGAGCAGAGAAACATACTCAAACGTAAGAGATGCACAACAATAATGATACACAATTATTCTTCTGAGTGTGTGTGTGTGTGTGTGTGTGTGTGTGTGAGATGACGCTCTCGTTCTTGTTCCTCTAGCTCGGAACGATCTGGAGGAGCAGGAGGAGAAGAGGGAGATCAAGAGACATTTATCCAAAAAGGTAAGAGACACACAGGTGAAGGCTTCGAAGGTTCTTCTTAAGCTCAGCCGCAAATATGAACATGGTTGCCGTGGCGACTGAACCAGCACTCTCATGAAAGGCTTGATAGTATCGCCTGTTACATCATCTAAGTGTGTGTGTGTCTGTGTGAGTGTGCCTAACAGTTTTTGAAACCAACCCCACTGGTCTACTGGGGAGAAACACAAATTTTCATCTGTGCTGGGAGGATTTTTTTATTCCTGTGAATTGGATTTTTTTTTTAATATCATAAATCCCGCTTTTAAAGGTCACATATTCTCTTCCTCTTCAACCAGTTTAAATAAGTCTCAGAGCTCCCCAAAACATGTGTGTGAAGTTTCTTGTTCTAAATCCACTCTGATCCTGTATTTGATCATGCCTATAAACCCCTCTATTTCAGCCCTGCTCAGAACAGGCTGTTTCTGTGTCTGTACCTTTAAATGTAAATGAGCTGTGTCTGACCACGCCCCCTCTCTCAAAGGGCTTGGGTGTCTCGGGCTTTCTCGCTCCATGCCCTGTTGTTTACGGTGAGAAGGCAGACTCAGAGGGAAGAACAAACACCTAGCTGTGGGAGTGTCACCCCCTGGGGGAGGGATTTTCTGCCCTTTGTGATGTCATGAAGGGAAAATCTCCAAACAGCCTGTTTGAGCACACATTTTCTGAAAAGTGGAGCAGGCAAATGATGGAGAGGATGGACTTTTTCCATCAGGGTTTGTAGAAGACTAGAAACACATATTAGTGTTATTAAACATGGTGAAGTGGATATTGCAGAATATGTGACCTTTAATGGCATTTATGTTAGCTTTTTAAAAATAATTTTAGCAAAGCTGTGGGGTTTCTGGTCCCATGTTGTCACTAAGCAGAATTAATTTTCTTTATTTTCATTCAAATGTTCCATGTTGACATTTCTTTTTAAAGTTGTTTTACTTCCTTTATAAACTCATCATTAACTTTAACTGTGCTTGGAATAAGATTGCATTTTCTTCTCTTTAAAAATTAGTATTTTTACATTTGTTAGCAATGTGTTGACTGATTTTATTGTAAAGAAAACAGAGATAAGGTTAACACTTATTGTATCTCTTAATACTCTTACTAGATATGAATTAAAAATTGATGGAGTGGAGATGGCCAATTTCGGCACAGAGATGTAGCAGGGTAAAGACTTGAATGACCCCCGTTTTGTTTATTTGTGTTCTCCAGCTCAGCCAGAGGCCGACCGTGGAGGAGTTGAGGGAGGCGAAGATCCTGATCCGCTTCAGCGACTACGTGGAGGTGGCCGAGGCTCAGGACTACGACAGGCGAGCAGACAAGCCGTGGACGCGACTAACAGCTGCTGATAAGGTCAGATGATCTCGCATTATTCTCCGTTTAACAGTAGTCCTCAGTAGGTTTACTGTGTACATGATCAGGTTTTGTTTGTGTGTCGTTCAGGCTGCCATCAGGAAGGAGCTGAACGAGTTTAAAAGCACAGAGATGGAGGTGCACGAGTCGAGTCGGCATCTGACCAGGTGAGATAAAAACACTGGCACCCACTTACAGAGCGTCTCTTTTTGAGTCCAGGAAGCACTCGTTTCTTTTTCCTGTCTGAACCAAATAGTGCTGATCCTTCAGATATTTCTCTGTGGACTGAAATAAGAGACCACAGCAGTCTCTTAGAAGGCGCTCACTTTCTCCTTGACTTCATGTCATGTCTCCCTGCAGGTTTCACCGGCCATAAAATGGTGCAGTCCGACCGCGGCCGCGCTTTCTCCTCCTACACCGAGTCTCAGATCGCTACCTGCTGCCCTCGTGCTGACTGCTCGCCTCTCCGGTGTCGACTTCAACGCGACAAACTGGAGAATGAACGCAACCTGTGTGCTGCCATCTTCACAGGAAACCAGAACAAAGTCTTTTACAAGTGCAGATGGATTCAAACTCTCACCTGGTGTCTCCCTTCAGAGGAGATTTTAAAGACTTCTTGATATTCAAAGGCTTTTCAGTTTTTTTATGAAGAAGGCGATTTGTTTACTTTGCAGCACTCACATCAAACAGAATCTGTGCCAATGTCGAGGATGTGAAGGTGAAGATGGGACTTTTTCTTATTTTTGAATTTTGTACAAATGGATTGTTTAGTTGCCTTTAATCATGTTCTCACACTTTTTTTTTTACTGGACTCTTTTCTTTGAGAGGTTTGCTTGTGTTGTCACAGACGACATTCTCTGTGGCTGTTTTCAAAACCTCCTACTACACTAGAAGTATGTACTGATTTGGCCAAAACTTCCTCCAGAGTCCACTTGAGGCTGACTTCACATACACACAACAGGCAAAAAATCTGTTTTTACAGCATAAATTAACATCTTTACAGCCTGGTACAAAAAATAAAATAGGTCTGATTAGTTTACTGTCATCACTGGCACACACTGTACAGGGGGAGTAGTATTCAGTAGGCAGTTTCGAAAACAGCCAATGTTTTAACTCACCAGAATAATCTAAATATTCCAACAGATGACTGCTGTTGTAGGCTGCTAAATCTCAAACCAAAACGTCTACAAACTCAAATTCATTTCTGCCGGCCAGTTACAGAAAAAGTCAACATCCCCCGTCACAAACACATCAATCAACAGCAATAATTTCAGATTTCACTTCTTTTTTTTTTTCTCCACCTGCTTTGTGGCTGCATTCCAGAGCTTGCAACACTTTCCCACTTTAGATCTCCGTTTGGTAAACCAAAGCAACTTAACTTGCTGTGGACGTTTGGATCCTGAATGCATCTCAGAGTTCAGTAACCCGCTGCGTCACTTTGCCTGCAGTATCGTTTACAGGGATTTAAAAATCACATAATTCAGTCATGTCGTTTGATAACAGAATATTTTATCTGAGGACAGAGTTCAATGTTGCTGAACTCGGCGACAAACTTTTTTTCTATCACATTTTTATTACAAATGTTGTTGGTACAAAAAGCTGAGAACTCAGCCGTCGTACTTTTCATGTTTTTATTGTTTACAGGTTCATGAAATGGAGGTGACCATTATACTGGGAGAACTGGTTTATCTGTTATCTGTGTGTGTGTGTGTGTGTGTGAGAGAGAGTGAGAATCGTGTGTGTACAAGAGTCTGTCACATCACTGCCTCTTGTCGATTGAAATGTTTTGAGAGATTCTCAGAATTCTAAAAGTTGTACATAAAGAAAGGAAGTGTGACTTTTCAGATGTTTTTTTTTTGTAAAGCAGAAAAAACTGCATGTGAGTATTAATTTATTGTGAGTCTTCTATGATGTATGCAGTTTCTTAAAGAAAGAAACTTATTAAAAAAAAATAAGTTTATCAAACAGGCTGCATTCACATTCATCGGCTTCTTTGTTTTCAGTGTTCATTCATGCACTCGAGGCTCTTCCACACATAGTTTCTCTTCTTTGGGGAACGCTGGGAATTGTCCTGTCAGTATGAAAAGTAGCTCCCAACTTCTCACGCTTATTAAAAGTAGCCCGTGATGAGTTTTCTGTTCATTCATGCAGAAAAAAAACACCCCCCCAAACGCCACAGTCTGTTAGTGTCTCAGTGGAGTTAAGGAGTAAGTCCTGGAAAATCTCTGTGGAGCTCCATGCGTCTACATGGCGTGCATCGGAGTGCCGCAATATTTGTGCCACAAGTCGATTGCTTTCGTCACGATGGCGTCTGTGTTTTCCTGCGGTATCTGGGGAAAGGGAAAAAATCTGGCATTGTATTTCTATTCTGTGGACAATCATTAGTAAGAGTGCTGGCTCGGTCTTTCACTCACATTGCACAGAAACTTGACGATGCCTTCCGGCCGGTTGATGCCCATCAAGATGATCTTGTAGCTGAGCAGGATCTCCAGAGACAAACACTAGGATCTTGCAGGAGCCGCTGATCACCTTGTCCCACACCCTGGAAACAATCACAGCTTAGATTACTGAGCAGTATGAAGACTGTTGGTTTTCATTTGTATATCAGAGGATTGGGAATGATGTAACCTCTCATTACTCCTGAAGGCGTCACAAATCTATCCAGCATCTGATATTTTGATATTTTCTCCTGTGCAGTGAATGACAGCGGTGCAGTAAAATTATCTTTATTTTTGGTAAAGCTAAGGGCATTAGCAAAGTCAAGAGTTCCTGCTACATTCCTCCTGCGAATAAAACCACCACTCCAGAGACTTGAGAGTGAGGTTCTAGTTCAACTAAAGCATCTTACTTTTTATCTTCAAAAGGTACCAGTATCTCCTTTCTGTCATGTTGCCAGACGCAAAGAATCACAATCTGAGACTTGCAAAAAAAGAAACACAACAACTTGTAGTGGATGTACTTTGAACGGGCTACGACCTCTGTAGCTTATACAGCCTGTTTAGCCCTGATGGCTGAGGTGATCTACCCCAACAATCCCAAATCTTTTTTAACCCGTTAATCATTAAGACCTTAAAAAAAAGTTAAAATTACCAGATTAACCCTTTCATAAATGTGTAAATTAACTTAGTGATAATGTCAAACGACATAAATTGTAGCCCGATCACAGTGTGAAGGCTGAAGCAGAAACATGTTTTGAAGATCTCTCAGAGAAGCTTAAATATCATCATGGTGGTGGATGTCTGAAGAAGTATCAATAAAAAGGTTGCTGACGAGAAAAGATGGTCTGAATCTTTGCTTTGTGTGGGGTTAACGTGCATGTGATGTCATGATAATTGGTTTACTGACCTCTGCAGGCTGGATTCAGGCAGGCAGCCGGCAAAGCAGCGTCTGAACCACAGGCTGTACGGCAGCTGAGCGAGTGCTCCGCTGTTCTTCAGGTGGTTCAGCAGTCGAGGTTCCTCCTGACTCAGATAATGCTCCAGACTCTTTGGCTGCACAGGGACCGAACAGGAGGAAACAAAACGTCTTATTTCACCTTTACGCATGCAGATAAAAAACCTGCATCGTGAGGAATTTGTCAGATAGCTTCTGAATTGAATAATTATTATTGGTAATAGTTGTTTAACACCATATAGAGTCGTACTTTCTGACACGGTAATACACCAAGATAATCTCAGTCTATTGAAACAGGTTCGCTTCATCGCTGTAAGATGGAGTATCACTCACCAGGTGAGGTATTGAGTCACCAAACTTGGTGTGAAACTGATTCACGAAACATTTGATTAGCCAATAGCAGTCGACAGGATCGTCTACGATCTCCTCCATGGCTCGACTGACGGAGAGGAAGTCCTCGTTCTCTTCATCCTGATACATTTGATCAGACACAACAGCACAAAGGAAAACAGGAGGTGAAGGGAAGTTAAAGTATGAGGGACCTAAAAGAAGTAGTTAAGAGTATTGGTTACCCATTTACTCGATCAATAAAAAAAAAAAATTGCAAAAATACAAAATCAGCTATGCCATTTCATATTCATGCTTTGAATGCAAAAGATAGAATTCAAACAGTAAAATTGTTAAACAAGAAAGGAGATCCCTGCAGGCAGTCAAAAGTCAGATCAAATTTACGGACACCTTTAACTCCTAACAGTGTATTAACTTGATTGTGTAGCTGACTTAAAGTCTCTCCACCTCTGCTAACATTTGGTCAAGAAGACCCCCCATCCATGTTGGCCCTGCATATGACCCTCATCTTATCATCTTAAACACAACTGTTGCAATGAAAGTTCACCACTGACGAGCAGGAGGCCGAGTAGTGATGTGTGATGCAAATGACAGGCGATGTAATCCAGTTTAATCAAGTTAACACGTTACATAACATCGTCACAGCGTAGAAAAACGATGTGCTCTCCAACCTACTGCAGCTCTCTCTATGTAACTTACCTCTACATGATGTTATTCAGTCTTTTAGACACAGGAAACATACATATTTGCTGTATCTATTCAAGTCTAACACTCGTTAAAAATGATGAGCAACACAATTTAAATGTTTAACAAATAAACTTGTATTTTCAGATAGTGGCTCTAACAACTGTCATATTGGATTATGTAGATATTCTTCTGCAAGGCCTTGAACTTCTAACAAACATCAATCATTGCAATGTTTTTCTGTTCTTTTATACGACACATCACTCTGGTTGTACTTCATCTTACCGGGGCAGAGGTCTCGGAGCACCGCGGAAGAATCTGGCTCTCCAGCTGGAACATGCGAAGGTAGATGTGGGTGGATGGTGTGGAGGAGTTGATGTACCTCATCACCTCCAGAGCCTCCAGGATGTCCTGGTACTGCTCCTTCCTGTAGCCTCCAACCAGAGCATGAGAGTCACTGTGGGGAGGGAGGATACCTGCAGGGGGGACAGGCGAGTTGTTTGTGTGTTTCACCAGCGCAAGACAGGCAACATGTTTCTTTGCAGACCTTTTGCATGGACAATGGACTTGTTTGGCCTGTGCACACCACATCCCAATGTATCAGTGGATCATTTGATTATGTTTTTACATCAACTATTAGTAGCAGCCCTGTTCTTACTTACCCAACAATACCTTCCACACATGGATCCTGTACATGGAGGGGAGGGGGAACCTCTGACTGAAGGTGCTCAGCTTTTCTAGATCTGTGAGAAGAGTGGAAACATCTCAAACCAAGACAGAAACGCACCCTGACATTCATCAAAATCCATCCTGATGTCCTTAACATAGTGATAGTATGTGCTCCATCACTGCTCCGTCTGATCCGTCTGCGGCGAGCTCACGGCATCCTTTAAAGACTCCTCCCACCCTGCCCACAGACTGTTTGTCCTCCTGCCCTCCGGTAGGCGCATCAGAAGCTTTCCGGACCAGAACCAGCAGACTGAGGAACAGCTTTTTCCCCAGAGCTGTCTCTCTACCTCTCTACTGAACTCTGTCTCCCTCCCGAACTCCGCCCCTCCCCTGCTGACCCCCCTTCCCCTGCACATCACCTCACACCCATCATCCCCCCACCACTCCTCCTGGTCATCCACCTGTATTATTGTATTATAGTCACCTCAATAAGTTATCGACCTGCACAATATGTCCATACTCTGTATACTATCTGTAATCTAGTATAGCATGCTCACTGCACCTTCATCTGTATATTATGATCTGAAGAATATACTTTATTTACAGCATTTATTTATATTTATAGCATCCCATTAATCCAGCCATATATACCCAATAATTCACTTTTTTTTTAGTCTACATCTGTAAATTCTGTAATTACTTGTACATAGCACAGATTCTTGCACTTTCTGCTTATTTGCACTTCTGGTGAGAAGCCAAACCTCATTTCATTCCTCTAAACTTCTATATGTGTAATGACAATAAAGCTGAATCTCATCTCATCTCATCACACTGTTCGTTTAATGCAGGTGAATGTGAACTGTTACCTACCGAGGGGATTGTCCTTGAGCAGTATTTCCAGTGATTTCTTCTCCTCTACTCCCCTGAAACCCACTTTCTCATAATAGGCCGAGCGGAAGTTTCTCTGTGGGTCATCGGCCATCCTGTCACATTTTACAAAACACCCTGAGAAAGCAGCCTTATCTTCAATTATATGACAGATACAAAAACAAGACCGCAACATTTAGCGCGTACAGACAGTCTGGTGTTTACTGTAGGTGAATGATAACACGAGTATGAAAGCACAATACATGTATACATTCCTTAATTGAATTTACAGTCTTACCTTGCTGAGGTGTTAGTAAGCCAGCTAGTCAGCACAACGAGCTACATAGCATTACGTACAACCCGCCTGTGGCTTGAAAATGAACAAGAGCGCTTGTTTAAGTGACATATACGTGGTTGACGTTTGCGTAGAGCCAAACTTTTTGAGGTTAAAAAAAAAAAAAAGTCGACCCTGTCAGCTACATGCCTCCTGCTCTTGTTGATATCGAACCTTCTTCTTCTTCTGTGAGGTTATTGGCGGTCGGAAAGCAACGAATCGGTGCATTTCCGCCACCTACTGGTGTGGAGGGTGTACTACTTCTGAGGGTTGGGCGAATTACAGCACTTCTGGTATTCAGTACAACATCAGTCCCTCTCGTTTGATGTTGCTTTAAAACAACATTTATTCAAGCAGAAAATATTGGGCAAAAGGTAAAAAAAAATAAAAATAAAACAACAAATTATTTTTTAACTCCATCAACTCAACAGATTTAAAAATACTTTTTTACCTACCGCAATTGCACTTTATAACGACTCCCCTTTAAGTAAGGACAGAAGACATTTAAACTTTTAAACTTTAGCCTGAGTTGCGTATATCATATATCAAACTGTATTGTGGGCTCATGTGTTTTTTGTATGGGTGGGATATGTATGTATGTATGTATGTGTTGTGTTGTGTGTTTGTATGTATGCTGGCTGCTGGAACACCTACATTTCCCTGCTGGGATGAATAAAGTATACCTTATCTTATCTTATCTTAGCTCCTCTAGACTGTTGCCAGGCAACCCAAACATTCTATCCTACTGCACTCTTGCAACTCTTGATGGTGTCCATGGTTACCACAGAGCAGCTAGAAATTGATCTTATCGTGGAAACCAGTCAAATTAGAGTGTGTTGTTGTGGGATTCAGATTCTCAATCACGTGGCAACTGAAATAAAATCATATTACCTTAACAAAATACATGATATCCAATCGTTCCATTATTCTGCTGAGGCTAATCAGCTGTTTTCATAGGCTATACCTCAAACTTCTGACAGTGTGAATAACATGTTACTGTTTCTTGTCCACAGTATTCAAATCTGCCTGTATCATGTTTTCCTACTATAAATAATGTGCTATTTAATCCAGTATGTCCAAAGCTTGGTCTAGATGTCATTGTTTAATGTCTCCTGATACTCATCATTTCACCAACCCTCCTTTGGATTATTTAAAACCATTGTTCTGATCCTGACTGATGTTGAAGTCAACTTGAGTATTTTACTTAGCCACATTGTCTGCCAGTTCATTTCCTTTGATGCCTTTATGTACAGGTACCCAAAAACATAACTGTAAGACCCATCATTTGAGCTCTGCAGGTGTTCATATTATTTCTATTTAAATGTCCGGTCTGACTGACAGTAGGAGGTGATAATTGATTAACTTGAATCTGAGCAAATGACTGATCTCAATGGTCTTGTGTCCTCTATCAAAATTTACAAAAAAATATATTTCTGACAGGCCTAAATGAAAGAGGAAAAGCTTTTTAGGGGTATTCCTTTATATGTTGTAACACTGGGTGGATATAGGATTGTTATTTTTTTTATTTTAGGTGAAAAAGGAACTGGAGATAGGTTGTAAATAATTGTGAGAATTTGTTGGAATAATATAATAGAAGAAAAATTAGATGGGGTAGGGATATGTAATTTTGACTTTTTCCTACTCCTTTTCAGATACTGTAACTTTTATTTATTATCTTATTGTAAGTCAGTCATTCATCGATGGACTTTATCAGAGTTTTAAGGTCAACTTCACATTTCGTACTCAAACGACAACAAAGAGTCATCATTTGGTTAGGTTTAGTTTTTGTATTATCAGAGTTTAGATTAACTTGTTTTAGTTTTTTCTCATTTTTCCCTGGTGCTGCTTGTTTTCCCTGGTGTTTCCTAGTTTAGTCTTTAGTGTCTCCTGCTTTATTTAGTCATTTCTTATCCTCGTGTTTCTCTGTTCTAGTGTGTATTGTTACATTCTTGAGTTCTCTGTGTCTTTAGTTTTTCCTGATTTTATGTTGTAGTTTTTACCCCTTGTGTATTATATCTTTAGTGTTCCTGTGTGTTTCCCTCCAGTTCAGATTGCCCTCTATGTCTTCACCTGTGTTTGATTACCCATTCTATTTAGTCTCAGTTTTCCTTCCCTCTTGTTGTCGATCTACAGCATGTGGGATATCAATGTGAGTTGTCTTCTTCACTGTTTTCCTTGTGGCTCCTGGTTTCCCTTTTTGGACTTTTTCAATACAATAAGTTTTTGTTTGTTTTTGTTTTTGTTTCTTGTTTAATGAACATTTCGTTAGTTCTGCATTTGGGTCCAGTTCCTTTTTACTTGAACGACATGAGACAAAGAGGAACAAAAAGAGGAATAGCCTATCTAAAAAAACATGGTATTTCTCATGATGCTACCCAAAGGTGTTTCCATTCTCTGTAATAAGAACAGTCATGAATCAACATGAGCAAAATACCCTTTTAATTTGATATATTCAGAAACTGTTACAAAACCAATAGCACTTATCAGCAGGAAATCAATGATTATGAATGATATGGTAAAAACAAAAAAAAACGAGTATGTCAGTATTTTTAACCCCTTCCCTCACAAAAAGCCATTTTACATGTCTAATACGACCATTTACCAGTGCAAAGCTTAAAAAGAAAAAACATTTCAAAGATAGGCAATATATGAGTAATGTAAGAAAATGGTAGTCATTTCCAAGGACAAAGGCATCAACAATTTCATCAGCATAAACTTTTTTAACCAGTTACCTCAAGATTGATGGCATTCATACTTTAGTCCAATTCTACAAGAAATACCTTGGCAGTGTTGATTTGATTGTGCTGATTTTTGCAAGTACAACATTTTTAAAAGCATAGCAACATCAAAGCTTAAATTTAGAACTATCCAAAAGTTTGAAAAAGATTATCAAGGCATCTTATTTACTATACAACACACCTTTTTCAATATTGTGATCAAGATATATTGGAATACTCTTTATTTGGAAGAGGTGAAGGAGCTGAAGGTGTAGCGACTAGTTGTTGCGGCCGGGGAGCCTAAGTCAAGACTGCCTCTGCGGGAGCCCCTTTGAGAGCCACTCCTTGAGCCAGTGTTGGATCCGGGAGCAGAGGAGACATTGTAAGGACTGCTGATCCCACTGGAAGATACTGATGATGCAGGAAGCATTCGAACTCCGGTTCTTTCCTCCGACATGCAGCTATCCAGAGCGTCTGTGTATGAGATCTTAAGTTTGCTCTTTGGGCATGTCAGGTTCTTTGTTTGCTTTTTGACATCTTGGAGCTTCTGAGCCGTCCTCTCGTCCAGCCAGCCCATTTGCAAAGCATCTTGTATGGTTCTTTTACAGCCTGTTTCTGGGTCATGAAAGCCCCCAGTTATATACTGGAACTCCAGGAACCTGTGCCCTGCCTCATATGGCAGCCATTTCTCCTTAATGGCCTCTGCAGCAGACATCTTCTTCCTGGTTTTTACATCCTCAAAGCCAACGTAAGCTTTCTGGGCAGGCTTAAGCTTGGAGGCCATGTTCTCATCTATAATGCCAAGACGTGAAGCCTCTTGGATGCCAAGCCTGTTGCCATTTTTGGGATTAATGATTCCTCCAGTGCATGCCTGGGCCTCCAGCAATCTCTGGGCGGTGATAGTATCCACCAGACCGCGATTTAAAGCCTCAAAGATGGATATTTTCTCAAAATTCTCTGTGTCAAAGACTGCACCTACAGGTTCCTGTTCACCTATAGTTACAACAGGGGAGGACAGAGTAACTGATACACTGGATAAACTTTTGCCACAGTCGGGCATGTCCCGAGAAATAATGCTTGATTTGGAGCTTCGTTCTGTGAGAGTGGTAGTTTCTTGTTGTGGTCATTTTGGTAAGGGTTGGTGATGAGGGTCTGGGTGGAGCTGATGATGATGAGGAGGCTGTCAAAGTTGATGAAGCTGACCCTCCTGATTTTCTCAAACTTGATGGTGATGTCACTGACGCCATACTTGGCGTTGCTGATGTTCTAGAAGAAGAAGATGATGATGAAAATGTCACTGAAGATGAACCCTGGGGGGCTAAAGTTCTTGAAGAAGAAGATGATGAAGATTTCAGAGAGGAATTACCTGCTGATGGTCTTGATAGCCCTCTGGTCTTCTTTGTTATGATATCTGCAAACTGAGTAAGGGTGATGATGCGTGATTTGTACTGATCTAGATCTGACTGACTAATCACTCTCTTTTCGAGCAGCTCAGTAATATCATACTCTCTTCCTGTCTTATTGTCAACTAACTTAAATTGTGTGGAACCATCCGGAGCAGTAATAGTGATCTCTTCCCACTCACACTCCTGCTCAGACAGATCGATGAATGTGTCGTAATCGATCAATCCTTTGTCAAATGCTTCACGCACTGTCATCTCTTTATTTGTCTCCGGGTCAACGATTATTACTCTCCTCTTTCTCGTCGTCGACTCCAGCTTTGACTTGTCTATGATGGGCAAAAGGATGAGGCCAGTCTTCTTATCTCTGATACAGGCCTTCTTAAGCTCCTTATAGGTTAGGTTTTCCTCTGTGTTAGGGTCAAAGAAACCCTTAGTTTCAGCATTCGGACTGCTCAGGACCCTGTTCATTCTCTCATCAAAGTAACCCTTCTCGTAGGCTACGTCCACATCAATACGATGGCTGTGTTCAGGGTCAATGATACCACCACTGGCAATCTGTGCCTCTAGCAGTCGGATACCATGACCTTTCTCCACTAGACCTCTCTCTATGGCCTGAAAGAGGGAGATAACCTTGTCTGTGCCAGGCACTTGGTAGCCAGTCACAGCCCTCTCTGCTGATAGAAGGGAGTCTTTATACTCTGGACCAAACAGTCTTTTACTGTAGGCATCACTTACACTCAGGAAATGGTTGTTGACAGGATCAACTATGAAGCCTGAAGCAGCCTGGGCCTCAAGTAGTTCAAGAGTGGTCCCAGGTTTCAACAGTCCATCTTTCATGGCCTGATAAATGGTCAGCACCTTCTCATTGGCCTCATCGTAAATTCCTGCTATGCAGGTAGAACCTCTCAGATAGGATCCCAGACGGTCTTCAATGTCCCTGCTTGTCAATCTGCCCTCCCTCAGTTTATCCATATCAGAACGTTTCAGCAGATTTGCATCCACTAGATCCATGACGGACACCTGGTCCCGAAGCCCCTGGACTGTTACAGGCTTTTTAGGTTCAGGAAGAAGCAGAAG